AAAAAAAAAAAGGAAATTAAAAAAGTCTTGGGAAGGTCTATGCAGTGAACTGTTGATACCGAGGCAATTGCTCTGTGTTTAACGCAATAACTCTCCAAGATATAGTAGGAAGGCAATAAAGGACGTAAAAAATCACTTATAGAAAAGAACCCCACCAATAGTACTTACTTTTAAATATACGACGCGTTTCAGGAGCATTAGACTAACTGTGTGGATTTGTTTCCTTATGTGATATTTGAATATATTTAATAAAATATTTGAAGGAAAGTTCAAGTCAAATCTATCCTTCTATAATGCAAACAAAGACGCATGTCTTGTGGTTACTGATAGGTTAGTTAGGTGATCTTAAAAGGGATCTATCTTAGAGTAATCAGATATTTATTCTAATAAAATTGTACGTCTTTTGTTCTCAGCACGGATATAATGCTCCATAGCGTATTTTGCGGGTGATGGTTTAGCAGAGGTGATCTGAATGTTTCGTTTGTGACTGGATTGCCACAGAACAAAAAAAAAGGCCTTTGTTATTCTTCTTTTCCATCAGTGAAAGAGGGAGGTCTGGCTCTTCATCTCTTTAGAAATTACCCGGTACAAAATTTAGACTATGAATATTAAAAGTGAAAGATCACACTCCGGGCACAGGGAAAGCATGTGTTCATTAAAAAACTGCCTGAATGCAACGTGGTCCTCATTTGGAAGGGGCTTCCATCCCACCACTCCGCTGCTTGCAGGATTTACCACCAGCTCCTCTCCGCCTTCATCTATCAAACGTGGTTTGTAACTGTTCTCCAGAAATATCACCCGTGTGTGGAATACAACAGTAACAAACGTTTTTATTGCAACAGGTTCGTCAGCATGGAAGAACATCTACAGTAAGTAACCTTTTCATTCTTGTAGAGTTTGCGTTGTTTGAAAATCCTGGGTCTTCTCTTCAGACTGGAAAAAAAAAAAAAAAAAAAAAAAAAAGGGATCCCTGATGAATATTGCTGCCCCCCGCCCCCATCGCTCCCTCCCAGTGTTGTCAGCATATGAAGGCTCTTGTGGTGTCCGTTTGTGGTACCATGTCATAATCCTGGCTAGTATTAAAAGCAGAGGTGCAGTCTCCTGGGGGTTTATTACAGGGCTATACAGGTGTCCCGCTCTTAAGCACTCCAAAACAATTAGCAGCCTTTCCATTTTAACTGGGCAGAACTTTACAGCGCCTCCCCGTGCGGAATCCGGATGGATCACGTTGTATCTCAGCACCTCATAACCTTGGCTACTCCCACTCTTTTCTCCAGATGGGATCCCAAGCAGAGCTGTGCCTGCGTTCTGATGTTCCCCTCGTTTGGCACGGGCTGGTGGCTGGGTGAAAGAGGCGGCAGAAGCTGGGGGCGGTCAGCGCTGGCCAGCCGGGGAAGCTGCAGCCCGGTTCTGCGGGCAGTAGAGCTGATCTGCTGGTGCTAAATGTTTCGGGGCAAGGGAGACTCTAATGTGGATTTAAATGCTGTGAAGGCACGGAATGGAATGGCTATCAGAGCTTAGGAGGGAAATCTTTTACTGTAGGGGTTTTCGCATCCCAGATGGTCTAGCCTGTGCTGCTCTGGGGGAAACCGAGTGGAGGGCAGAAGATCAGTGTGCATCAGGAAATGCACACTTTCTGGCTRCAGAGAGAAGCTAAGTGCATTGGTCCTGGTGTTCCACGCTGAGACCAGGCTTGTCCCTCAAAGAAGGAAGGAAAGCCTGCGATATTTGGCGATTCATTAGGTTGTACATCGCCCTTCCCGCTTCTGCCAGCCCCGCTATGACCGGGAGCATGTAAAGGAGAGGAGTGTTTGCGTGTGTGTTTGTTTGCGTTTCGCCACTTCCTCTCCCTGCTTCCTGATAAATAATCTATTTCACTATATGTACCACGCTTCTCCTTGTCTTTTTGTCGCACGTTTCAATATCGGTTTTTGAGCCCTATAAATACGAACTAAAGAATAGCCTCCAGCGTTGCAGTTTTAATTGTGTTCCGTAGGTAACTTTCCTCCCCCCGTAGCTCGGTCCTGCGCTACGTAGACGCCCTTGGCATTTTATTCCAGAGCCGGCCCTAAATGTATGGATTACTTGTTTTCTGCCAACGTACATTTAGCATACTGATTATGAACTAGAGTACAAAAAGCCTGATAGATCAAAAGTATTTTGTATGGGCTGTTGAACAGGAGGTGAATATATAACGCTTTTGTTCATCAATAACTCTTTGGCTTTGACCTGTCTGAGCAAGTCGTGCAATAAGGTGAAACGCAGGTCACAGCGTCTAACAAATATGAAAATGTGTAGTATTAAGCAGAACGGGAAGCTGCTGCTTCCCCAGCTCCACCGCTGCTCCCTGGGCAGCCCTCGGCGGGCTTGTCCGCTCCCGTGGGCTGCCCCAAACGATAGCTCGCTTTGGGGAGCGGAGGGGAGTTACCCTGCCAGTTCAACCGGATGGTTAATAACCCCCGAGAAGGCGGGGGGGTATCCCCCCTTCCCTCAGAGAAAGGATGAGAAAGCGGGGCGAGATGCTGAAAATAGCTGGGTGGAGATTTAAAGAATCCGGGGGGAGATTAAGGACATAAAGTCGTTTCGAGTTGCACTTGCTGTAAAGAAAGGCACCACCGCAGTGGTAAGAAGGCAGACGTTCAAAAATAGCATCTCCCAGATGAGGCAGTTGGGAGCTGGAGCCAGCCAAACAACCCAGTACACATTGCTCGGATAAGCGCAACACCCCCAAATCTGCCCTTCGCAGTGGCTGGATGTATCACACCCAAACCATTATTTGTCCTTATGGTGCCTGTTTTAAATAGTGGAAGGAGAAGAGGTTGACCGCAGGACAGCAGCGAGGAGCTGAGTCAGACACAATTCATGAACTTTTGTACTCCTGTGTGCCGCTGTCGACAAAGTAAAAATAATGAAACTTTGTGATATGTTTGTAAATGATTTCGGCTGACCTCTAGCCCTGCCCTTCACCATAAACGCTACGGCGGGGAAAACCTGGGAGGGTGCGAGGCTGAGGCTCGCAGGCAGATCGCGGGGATAATAGCTAGACCAGCATAATAGGATGAAGGTAAATTTGGAAACTCTTTTTTTCCCGAGGGCAACTAACTCCAGCTTTTAATCTCATCTTTTTCACCAACCGCTGTTTCTGTTGTCGGCTGTTTTACTTCTGTTTCGATTTTTTTAAGTTCTTTTTTATTTTGGGGGGATTACTAATAATGGAGAATCTCTTCAGATTCGTGTTAGCCTAAATAGTTAAAGCCTCCTTCCTAAATTACTTTAACCTTTATTATTCTAAATAGCGCAATTCGACCGACCAGGTCCATTTTCCATAGCGAGGAGGTAAAATGGCAGAGAATTTAAAGAGAACGGCAGGTCTTTCTGAGAATTTGGTAGACGAAATTTGTCGTTATGAATTGGTGGAGAGTCGTATAGCTCTATTGCAGCAATGATAACAAGCGTGAATCTTTTCTGAAATCCCACCTTCCTGCAAATCTGTGTTTCAGAACTGAGTCCCAGCAGAATAGTTTGCATTCCTCAGAAGACAGTGAGACACTAAGAGAATTGCAAAGACCTGCTGTATTGTAGATGAAAACAGAATGTTATTACGTTGTCTATATATACCCTGTAGAACCGAATTTGTGTGATATTCATATAGTCACAGATTCGATTCTAGGGGAATATATGGTCGATGCAAAAACTTCACCTTTCTACAAATGGTTAGAAGTTAAAATACTGGCGGAATCAAGAGGCATGTGCGTGATCAACACTCAGAAATTATAAATTTTGCTGCCTCGCTCCTATTCGCTAGGTTTTAGGACGTTTCTTAAAACTTCAGYTGTCGTTCAGTCCTAACTCTTCCTGACAATCTGTGAATTTAAACAGTTAAATTCACCAGAAGTAACAAATTTTCTGGGGGGGGGAAAGAAATTATCTATCAATCAGTGAATGAGTCTTTTGTAAGATACCCATAGATTAGCTAGATATGCCAGACTTTAGCAAAAATTCCCTGTCAAGGGTCCAGATCGCATCAAAATATTTATGAGAGCAGCAAAAGCAGCATTCGCCTCACTGGAATGTATTTACTTGTGCTCCAGGAATGATATTGATGAATGAAGACCCAATTTATCCCATTAAACCCGTGATATTTTTAACCTAATTAAATGACGTCTCCAGTTCAATTGATTGAACTTTAGTGGTTAAAAGTGAACTGTTTCTTGCCATCTGTATGATTTTACATACATACACGTATAGATTTATAGATRTACATTGGCGTTTGTGTGCGTGCACGCATATGTATGCACACGTATATTTTGAGGCTTGGAAGTGAATGAGAAGTTACTGATTGCCTAATTTTATTCAGCAGAACTAAATTCTGGTAACTTTTGGATGACCTCTGCGAGACAAAGACAGGACAGATCTATTGTACATCATATTACCCTCTTCTTTGATGGCTTTTCTTTTCCTCGCCTGCTTATCAGTTTCTTCCCTTTTAACCCCGCTTCAGCTCATCGCTCTATATATTCCTTTCGATTCTTTTTCTTATTTTATTTAAAGCGAGGTATCAAGCCCCGGTGGCTATCCTGGCTAGTAGATCAGACGGCAGGGCAGCATCCCCCGGGGCTGGGGGAAGCCGGCTCAGACAAAAGGCTGTGGGCAGGGCAGCGGCCGCCGCCCCGGGGTACCCCTACACCTCCGGTACCTGGTTTGCGGGTGCGGCCCGCCGGAGAGGGGGGTCACTCGGTTAGAGGGATGTTATTGAGTGGAATCGCTGGAAATGCGGGGAAATGCGGCGGTGGGCGCCCGGCTCCCCATTGGCCGGGCCGGTCACATGCCCGCCTAACTTTATTCAGTTGACAGCAAGTAGGAGGGCTCTATGGCAGGGGAAAAAAAGACAACACGAGAAAAATTAGTATTTTCTACCTTCAGAAATTAATGGCCATGAGTTCGTATATGGTGAACTCTAAGTATGTGGATCCCAAATTTCCTCCTTGCGAGGAATATTTGCAGAATAGCTACTTAGGCGAGCAGGGGGCCGAGTACTATAGTGCCTCGCAGGGCTCTGATTTCCAGCACCAGGGACTCTACCCACGGTCAAACTACAGCGAGCAGCCCTTTAGCTGTAGCAATGCCCAGGGCTCTGCCGGGCAACCGCGAGGTCATGGACAGGAGCAATCCGGCCCGGCGAGCCACTTCCCCGGCCCAGCAGAGCATTGTCCACCGCCTCCAATGTCCAACTCGCGAGCCTGCAGCCAGCAGCCGGCCCTCAAACCCCCAAACGGCTCCGCAGTTAAGCAGCCAGCAGTAGTTTATCCCTGGATGAAGAAAGTCCATGTTAACTCGGGTAAGGATCCTCTTCTTACTTTGCTCTTCTACCCTGCTTCCGATCGTCCTCAGCGGCGCTCTCCCGAGCCCCCGCCAGGCTCGTGGACGAGCTTTTTAAGCCGAGTTGGCCAATTACACTCGCCATAAATTTTTATTGCTGAGGAAATAGGCCGTTGGCCATGCGGGGCTTTGCCGTGCAGGATAAAACTCCATTTTAGGAGCCTTCTAGAGGCTCCCAGCCTACCTAGCTGCGTGTGCCCGTAGTGCCTGCCTCAAACGAGGGGGAAAGCAGCCCGGCCATTGTAAGCAACTGGGACGAATCCAGCTCGGCCACATGCTCGCAGCTCGTAAGGTTTTTCTTTTGTAAAGTCGGACCGGCAAGTCAAGATTAGCTTTGTAAAAGTTCTCCGTATTTTTTTCCCAGTGAATCCTAATTACAACGGAGGGGAACCTAAACGCTCCCGCACAGCTTACACCAGACAGCAAGTCCTAGAACTGGAAAAAGAATTTCATTTTAACAGGTACCTGACCAGGCGCCGCCGTATCGAGATAGCCCACACTTTGTGTCTCTCTGAGCGCCAGATCAAGATCTGGTTTCAGAACAGAAGAATGAAGTGGAAAAAAGATCACAAACTGCCCAACACGAAGGGCAGGTCTTCTTCCAATGGTTCAAACCCCCATTTACAAACTGGTTCCAAGGACCATCAGACTGACTTGACAACTTTGTAGAAGAGGTGAAATTTTCCATTTCATCCTTCGCTTCTGACCAGTACTGTACATAACAGACACTGCCCAAGCAGAACCTGCATGTAGCAGCTAAGGACACGAGAAACTGTCATCTTTCTTTAAGGTACTGTTGTACAAAGGAGACAAAATGACGCTACTTTGGACTTTATTTTATTTGCCTCTGCTAGCACAGCCTAAAAAGGAAAACAAAAAAAAACAAAAAAAAAAAAAGGGGAAAGAAAGAGAGAGGGAAAAGCAAACAAACCAACCATCATGCAGGCAGTGGGAATTGGGAAAATATTAAATGAGATCTTCTGTCCTTAAAAAATAATAAATCATTGAAAATGAAACTGTTCCGTCTTCCAGTTTTGAATTCGAAAGTGAAGATTGGATGCTTTATTCTGGGATTTGTACTTTTAATTGTCTTTTTATCCCATGCAATTTCGGGAGGATGCATTTTGGGCAAGTTGAGGAGAGGAAATTCATAGCATAGCCTTTTATTTGAACATAAAGACTAGTAATTGTGAACTCTTTTTTTGTGCTGCTTTACCTTTCTCGGTGTAATGAAAATACTTGCTCATTTCCATAATGTCTCAGAAGGTGTGCATAGAAATTAAGTGAAAACGGGTTATTTTATGTCCTGATAGTGTTAGTGTATTTATTTATTTGTTACATAGAAGAATGAGGACAAAAAGAAAAATAGTCAAACCAAAAACGAGGAAGGGGAACTGAAATCCAGTATTTTTCCTTCCCAGTCTCATGAACACATATGTAATGTTTACTTGTCTTGAACGTACACAACTTTTTT